AAATTGGGACTTCACCTCTTTTACAACTTTCCATCCCAAACCTTCTTAATACTCTTTCAATGTAATTCCTTTGAGATAATCCCAGAGTTCTTAATTGTCTGTTTCTAACTATTTCAATTCCCAGCACATAGCTTGCCTCACCCATATCTTTCATATCAAAACTCTTCATGAGGAAAGCTTTAGTGGATTGCAACATCCTTTTACTATTTGTGGCAAGTAATATATCATCTACATATAGTATAAGAAATATAAAGTCACTCCCACTGAATTTTGAGTAAATACATTCATCCAATTTATTTTCCTTAAAACCAAAATTGTTCATCACAGTGTCGAACTTCTTATACCACTGTCTAGATGCCTGTTTTAGCCCATAGATGGATTTGTTCAATCTACAAACTTGATTTTCATTTAATACAAATCCTTCTGGTTGAATCATATGGATTTCCTCTTCCAAATCTCCATTTAAAAAGGCTGTCTTTACATCCATTTGATGTAATTCTAAATCAAAATGTGCTACTATGGCCATAATTACTCTGAATGCATCCTTAGTAGATACAGGTGAGAATGTCTCATTGTAATTTATACCCTCTCTTTGATTGTAGCCCTTAGCCACTAATCTTGCCTTATATCTATCAATATTCCCTTTTGCATCCCTTTTAGTTTTAAACACCCACTTACAGCCTACAGGTCTTATATGGTCTGATTTATCAATCAAGTCCCATACTTTATTATTTGACATGCTGTCCAATTCATCCTTCATGGCTTTTATCCAATTCTCCTTATTTGGTGAATCCATGGCTTCTTTAAAGCTGATTGGATCATCATTATCTTCTAAATTAATATCCAGTTCTGTCATATTGACTGAGATATTAACATTTGATTTTCAGAAGTTAAAGGAAATTCCTCTTCATGATAGGTCATCCAATCATTCATATTACATGAATCTTGATGACAGCTTTCTAAATCACCATCTTCATTAAACATCTCATCATAAAACACTGCTTTATTAGTCTCAAATATTCTTTGTCCCCTTCCAGGGTTAAAAAACTTATACCCTTTGGATTTTTCTGAATATCCAATGAAGAAAGCAGAGAGTGATCTTGAATCTAGTTTGCTTAGGCTTTCAACATGATATTCTCTGGTTTCAGCTTTACAACCCCATACATGAAGATGTTTTAAACTAGGTTTATATCCATTCCATAATTCAAAAGGTGTACCTTTTACAGCCTTAGTTGGAGTTCTATTACTAATGTAATTTGCTGTTTTTAATGCTTCTCCCCAGAGGAATTTTGGCAGGCTTGATCTTGCAAACATGCTCCTGACCATATCCATCAAGGTCCTATTCTTCCTCTCTGATACTCCATTTTGAGTAGGAGTGTATGGAGTCGTATATTCAGCTTTAATTCCTTTTTGTTCCAAATACATGGCAAAAGGACCCTTATGCTGTCCCTTTTCTGAGTACCTTCCAAAATACTCTCCTCCTCTATCTGATCTAACTGTTTTAATTTTCTTCTCATTTTGTCTTTCAACTTCTGTTTTGAAGTTTATAAAACAGTCTAGAGCTTGTGACTTTTCTGCCATTAGAAATATGTGGCAGTATCTAGAGTAATCATCAATAAATGTGATAAAATACTTGTTATCACATATTGTCTTAACTGGAAAGGGTCCACATATGTCTGTATGGACTAGTTCAAGAACACTTTGGCTTCTTTTGGACTGAAAATTCCTAGAATTTGTCATTTTTCCCTTCAAACAGTCTATGCAAGTTTCAAAATCATCAAAGTTCAGATCTGGTAAGATCCCTTGTCTAATAAGATCCTGCATTCTAGACTTTGATATATGTCCTAATCTCTTATGCCATAAGAATGAAGAGACATTCTGTTTATGTTTCTTCATACTTCCTGTTACTTTATTTATGCAATACATCTGTCTTTTGTATCCTCTATTTGTGGTTTCATTAATGCAATTCAAGTGCCAATATCCATCTATTAAATATGCATTTCCAAAACACACATCATCCAAATAGAATAACATACAATCTTTATTAGCATAGAATGAAACATTGTTTTCATTCACAATTTGAGAACCTGATACTAGGTTCTTTCTTATTCTAGGTATATAATAAACATGTTTTAGTGTTATAACATAATTGTTCTTAAATAACAATCTGCATTCTCCAACAGCCTCCACCTTCAGCTCCTGTCCATTTGCAGCACATATCTTTGACTCATTCGGCCTTGGGATTGTTATCCTTGATAATCCCTGTATTGAGTTGATAATGTGAATAGGTGAAGCTGTGTCAAACCACCATGAATTATCAATTCTGTAATTAGTGGTTTCTAAAGAGAAAAGATAATTGGCATTACCTTTCTTGCTCAACCATTCCTTGAATCCATCACAGTCCCTTTTAAAATGCCCTGCCTTTTTACAAAAGAAACACTTTTGTTCCTTCTTCTTCTTGAAGAATTTTCCCTTATCCTTGACATTTTGGATTGAAGAAGTGGAGGTATTTGCCTTATTATAATTAAAGTGTTTCTTCATTTTATTCTTGGCTTTGGATATGTGATTAATGCTTACTGCTTTACCCTTATTCTTTACTTCTGATTCCTCTTGAACACAAATGGTGATCATTTCATCCAAAGTCCATTTCTCCTTTTGTGTGTTATACAGGCTCCTTAAGTGACTGTATTGTTCTGGTAATGAATTCAAAAGGAGGTGAACTAGAAATGAATCATCAATGGAAACTTTCATCTCCTTAAGTTTACAAGCAGTGTCTATTCCTTGCAGAATATATTCTCTTATGCTGCCTTGTCCATTAAAGCTCATTCTAATCAATTTATTCATAAGATAGCCTGTTTCAGCCTTATCAGAAACCTTGTACTTATCAGCAATCGATGCAAGATACACTTTAGCAAGGTCTGATTCTGGGATTCCTCCCTTAACAGCATCAGTTATACATCTCTTTATGTATATTAAGGCTATCCTATTATGTTTGTGCCACTCTTGATGCTTAAATACTATTTCCTTGGCTGCATTACTTGCTGGTTCTGCTGGTGGGTCTTCCCTAAGAACATGGTCATAATCTAGGATTCCTAACATAAGTTCGATATCCTCCTTCCATTTCTTATAGTTAACACCATTTAGGGGTGCAAAGTTTACTACATTCATGGGATAATGGGCTGAGTGAGATAGGAACTGTTGTCTTTCTGTTTTACTTGGCAGTCCTGAATCAAGAAGCAATTATACTCTATATTAATTACATGTATATGCAATCAGTCAATTATATGATTAATCATTTGATTAAAACTGAAGTGTTAATTTCGAATTTGATTCCCTTTTAAGAAAGCATATCAAAGTTCGAAATTTCAATACAGTAGGATGAGTGTTTCGATCACACTGTTGTGACAGTAAGTGATTCAAAACATCGATCATCAATTTTTGATTTTCATATTGTGATTCTTAACTATTTTGATAGTATTTGAATCACTTTAATCCAGAATCACTTGGGTGACATGTGGATTTCTTAATCATCTTGATTTTCAAGATAATCGAGACAAAACGATCTTACAGAGGTTTCCGTATTGTGCGTCTCTGGTTAATCGATGAGAAGGAATACAATTTTGGGTTCAATTCGATGAGTTAAGTGGCTCTGATACCAATTGTTAGACTAATTTTGATTTAGGATCGATCTAACGCATCAAATTTGAACCATTTCTATGCGATTAACTGCAGTAATAAGAACATACCTGGCAATA